ATCCAAGCAAGTATGATCCGATATTGTCGGCCGTGCTGACCCTCAAAGCGGAGAATGGTATTTTCCTAAGACTAAGAGAGCGCCCTTAGAGCCGAGGTTTCAGCAACAATAGCGTTAGATAATATACAGATGCCATTTCTTAATGTTGGTTGCATTTGTTTGTTTGAAAATATTGCTAATTAAATATAAATATGAATATAAGATAAATCTTAAATTATCAATTCTCTTATCAGTTAGCTGAAAACTGTAAGTTTTTTTTTAATATTAAAATACCGCCGCACATGGAGAGCTACATTCAGTTGACGATCGGCGTTCGTCTCCAGCAGTTTAAATGAGTTTTCATATACGAAAAGTGTGTAGCAACTCAAGATGTGGTTGCTGTTGTTGTATAGTTTTTTGCTGGCACCGATTCTTGCCATACTCTACTAGGAAGTGAAAAATTATAGCGAAGTCAAGCAGCTGAATAAGCTGCCAGGACCGCCAGCTTTACCGGTTTTGGGAAATGCGCACTAAATGGGTAAAACGCCAAGTGGTAAGAAAGAGAGAAAAGTTGAGGAGTTCCGCAGCTTATATGTAACATATGTGTGAAATTAGTTGAATTCGTAACATATAAAGTTATTCTGCAGAATTTGGGCAGTGAATCAACCGAGTACAATCGAAAGTCAGAGTAGTGGACTGCATATTATGAAACTGCATATTAGTAATCGAATGATTACTGAGCCATTGCACTACGAATTTGGTTATAGCTCTATTTTACAATTCCAGTAATTAGCAATTGTATTTTTTTCTGGAAGGATCAGTTTGAATTGTACTGTATTGTTTCCGTTTAAATATTATATTGCTCTGCGTAATGCTTCGAAAGGATTTCTGTATGTCTCAAATTACAATAGACTCTTTTATCAACACTCCAATTATTCCGCAAGTATGAATATGAAATGTTTTCCTTATTTCTTTCAATTTTTTAATTACTAAAAAATTTCAAATGATTCTTACTTTTATCCATTAAAACTGAGTACTAAAACAAATATTTATTATTGCAACAAGCTTCTCTTTATTTTGTTAGTAATTGTTTTACCAAAATAATCTATCTTAATCTGTCTGGTACAAAACATATCATTTTATTAATTATTAACAAATTGTTTATTTTTTATAATACAGTGAAATTCCTCATAAACGGAGTATTTGAGTCCGGCTAATGGAGCTGTCCGTATATGGGGGCGCTTAAAATGTGTTTTTCGTGACAGAAGCTGCATATCAGGGCTATATTTCAATCGAACTAATAAATGCGAGCAAATAGTGTCCGTGTCCGGTGGTTGGAACGTACTCATATCCGGTTATTAGAATTGGTTTGCTATGAAAATATCAATGAAAACGTTGTATTTATAATGTAATAAGTACTATCCGTAATGGGGAATTTCACTGTATTTGTTATATAATACATTTACCTAGCAAATATTCACCGCAATTCATACTGAGCACTCTGTAGGCGACAAAAACTTGATAAGGTTTAATAACAGCATCATTATATGTATATCATACATGTGTGTTTTTTAATTGTTTATTCAAGCTTAAATTTGTTTATTTAGATCGTTAGTAAGAGTGTGTGTTTCATGCAAATGAAAGTTGATTAAGCAAAATTAGTACTATTTAAGTATTGCGTATTTATTTCTTTTTGAAAGCCTTTGTCTCTGCCATAAACGTCTGATGAAAATCTGGAAATTCTAATCATACTATATGAACCGCTGCATCGAAAACTTAACTTCCACTCATCTCTGAAACTTCTTATTCAAACAGAATCTATTGCTTGTATGCAAAGTGAATCTATAAATACAAATATGTATAAACATGAAACAGATTTAACTTCGGTTGTACTGAAACCATATTCCCTACACAATTACAAAATATTCCTTGGAAGAACTTGATTCCTATTATTCACTTTGTATGGCAGCTATATGCTAAAGTGATATGATCTGAACGATTGCTTCGTATATTGAATTACTGCTTTAAGTAATAATCCATGCCGAATTTCGTGAAGATATCTCCTCAATTGAAAAAGTTGTCCCTAATAATATTTGTTTCCGAACGTTCAGTTTGTATGAGAGCTATATGCTACAGTAATCCGATATCGACGGTATCAGTAAACGAAAATAATTGCTAAGGGTTTATGAATGTACAGTATTTCCTTGTTAAATGTAACTAAAAACAGCACTCTTCTTTTTTACTGGGTGACAGTGCTGACGGCATGCCGTCCATATAGGCAAGTTAGGCAATTGTTTAGAGCACGAGAATTTTAGGGCAGCATTTTGACTAATTTGCTTTACATATACTACTGTGATCAAATTGATACTATATTTTTAAAATCTTTATTTATTATTCCAAATCCATTTCATCTCCTTCAAAGTAATCCCATCCCGCTGCAATGCACTTATGCCAACGAATTGGAAAAATCCTCCGTCGTGATGGCCATCAGAGCCTTCTTCGATTCAACTTTTATATCCTCAATTGAGTCAAAACAGTGTCCTCGGAAAAACCAATAGTTTTCGGCCCACAATTCTGGCCTCTTGAGGCGAATAGCTTAACACAAACGGCGAATAACGCTCAAATAATATTCTTCGTTAACAGTTTATCCCGGTGGAAGGAATTCATAATGCACCATAACACGATAATCGAAGAAAACTGTCACATGACCTTGATTTTTAAATTGTCAGCTGGCAGGACACCCTGATCTGATTTCTGAGCTGGCAACAAAACACAATCAGGCTGCCTTCAACCAGCAGTTAGTGAAAAAGGCGGGATGCCAGAAGAGCAGCGCTATAATTACTTGACGAAATTAGTGTGAAATGAAATTTCATTGAAGTGTGCAAACATATTTTGGCAAAATAAATGTTTATGTAAATTAATTAATGATTTTGCATTTTAGCATTTATATATGTATGCATTTCCAAAGTGTTTAATTTAGTGTTTTGCAATAAGCTAATATTTTTCAGCAGTGGCATCATTACCAAATATTATAAAAATGAAAGTTTTGACAGCTCTCTCTCGAACCAAAGAGTCTCGTATCAAATTATCTATGGCACCAATCCACATGATTTGCCCAAACTATCAGTAATGTCTCTAATAGAACGATTTCTAAAGCGAGAGGTATTATTGAGCTCCGATAATCGACTGACTGTTCATAATTGAGTATGCTCTCAATTGTGGTGAATTGCAAAAATGTTGCATAACCGATGTATCTAAACATAATATATCGGTTATGTTGCCAAACATGTAAAATACTTTCGTGTTGCTTGGAAATCTTAAAAAATATATGCCAAAGATTGATCTTTCGAATGATAGTAAACATTTCCCATTAAATGTGAAATTTCTGTGATTACCTAATCTAGTTTGAACTGAGCTTTTTGGAAAGTTGGACGACAAATTATGTGGCATTCACAGTATATTTGCTCGCCATGCACCCTGAGATACAAGTAAGCTAGTTTTTTATAAAGATGGTAACCAAAACGAGTTTTAAATTGCTTCTTTATACGCACAGAGGAGAGTGTACGCCGAGCAAAAACAGTTATTGGGGGACAACTTCAAGGGTGAAGCCACTTTCCAGCAGATTGCTGACATGCAGTACTTGGACATGGTCATAAAGGAGTCACTGCGTCTCTATCCCAGCGTAYCAATTGTTGCCAGACGTACTGACAAGGATTACGATATAAGTGCGTTAAGAGGCGATAATAATACGTTGTATCAATACAGCAGAGGAGACTCTCATATGTAGCGATCTAATTAATCTCTTTTTTTTCTCTTTACTTTTAACGTGTTTGAAAAACTTCTTCGCTACAGATGGCTTCACTGTGCCAGTAGATACTACCATTAATCTTTTTCTGATGGCACTCGGTTACAATGAAAAATATTTTCCCGATCCCTACCACGTGGATCCTGATCGTTGGTGTGCGACGAAACGCTCCCAARATCCTTTTGAGTACCTGCCTTTCWGCGCAGGTCCCRGAAATTGTATTGGTAAGTAATTTGAGGTATTACGATGTATTTAATTTTCGAATCGAACTACTATCAAAGGACAAAAGTTCGCGTTGCTCGAAATTAAAACTGTAGTTTCGAAAKTCGTGCGCACTTTCGAAATACTGCCGCCTCTGGACGAATTAGCCTCCACAGATGGATATTCGAGACACTTCATTGGCTTGTCGCAGGCGGAACAAAGAGAGCGGTTACCGMATCCAAGCAAGTATGAYCCGATATTGTCGGCCGTGCTGACCCTCAAAGSGGAGAATGGTATTTTCCTAAGACTAAGAGAGCGCCCTTAGARCCGAGGTTGCAGCAACAATAGCGTTAGATAAKATACAGATGCCATTTCTTAATGTTGGTTGCATTTGTTTATTTGAAAATATTGCTAATATTAAATAAGTATGAATATACGATGAATCTTAAATTAGTTTGTTTGATGTCTATGTATACTGAGTGGTTTTGTTGCTTATCTTATATGTATACTATATAATAATGACTGAGTAATTCCTTAAGCTATCACGAGCACAGTACCCACGTAGGGCTCGGCATTAAACTGTGTGGGATCAATAATTTGGCTGCAAAAAAGGAAAAATTATATCATAAAATATTTAGTGTTAAATATTATGAATTTAAACTTACCCATCAACGTATTGCGACTGCATGGAAGTTGTAATCACTTCCGCTTTGGAACCCAAGGAGTAGTAAGTGTTGACGTTTAATGTCTTATTAGAGCTGCYCAAGTTCAGCACAATCACATACAGATCGCTACCAGTTTTTTGGCTGTAGAAATTAAAGAGATATGATAGAATTTGAGAAAATACTCAATAGTAATAATCCGCTGTGRCAGTAAACATACCGTGAGTAAATGATGAGATCGTCATCGATCGCCTTGATGTTGAAATCGCCATCCTGGAATGACGGTTCCTTGCGCAGGCGTATGAGCTTCTTCATGATCTGCAGATGCGATTGCGGGGCACGTTGTTGAGCCAAAGCGTTGTTCTGCTTGTAGTCATCGGACACCGGTAGCCAAGTGTGATCACCRGAGGTAAAACCTGTTGTGATTGATAAAGAAATKTTGACTATGTAGATAAGGCATACGAGTATGGGTAAATGAAAACATGTGTACCCTGACGAAATGGTTATTGAAACTGCCAACAGACAGATAAGATGAAAGTTTTTTATATTAGAGTTTTATAACACTTACCGGCATTGGGTGATGCATCCCACTGATAAGGTGTACGCGCAGGATCGCGTGATAAATCATAGTAACGGTCAGGATCTGAATTACAGGCCTGTGGATCCACGGAGTCCTCCCAGCTAATATACACGTCAGTCATAGCTAGTTCTTCGCCCTAAAAGAAGAAAAGRTGATTTTGATAAATACACTTGACTGGTCAAAAAAAAAATCTGATACTCACATTGTAGGTCACCGCATTGCCGGGCAATGTTTGGAGCAGGATGTTGAAGAGATCGGCACGTTGTACGCCGTAGCGTGAAGCCAAACGCTTGTTGTCGTGATTGCCCAGCACCCAGTTGGCGATCACACCTTCAGGCATCGCATTCAACCATTTCTCGATGTGTTCCACCACCGTCGGCGCCTTGGTATCGTTCTGGAGATTTGTTAAGAAATCGAAATTGAAAGGAATGTGCGAACCATTTCGTATGCCATTGCCATAGTAAAGAATCATRTTGTCGAAGCTGGTGTAAGCTTCRGTGAGCAGAATGCGTGTATCGCCGCCATGCTCCTTCTTGAATTCATCGGCGAGCGCACGCCATTGGTAGACCATATCGAGGGTTTCGGGCTGATCTTGCGTGTAGATATGTTTCAAGTGGCAAGCGTCATCGGGATCAGGGCATGTGCTTACATCATCGATGACTGGTTCATCTGGGTAGTTATTGTAGCGGTCCAAATCCTTTTCAAAGAGATAAGGTACAGCGTCAATGCGAAAGCCCGCAACCCCCTTACCCAACCAGAAGCGCATAACGTTTTTCATTTCATTCACAACAGCTGGATTGCGRTAATTGAGATCGGGCTGTTTGGTGACGAATTGATGCAAGTAGTATTGTTGGCGCACATCGTTCCATTCCCAAGCAGAGTAACGGAAAACGCTCACCCAGTTGCTGGGCGGCTGACGTTCGCCGGTGGTTTCATTTACAATGCCGTTATGCCAAATATAGAAATCGGCATATGCTGGATCACCATCCACCGACTTGATGAACCACTCATTCTCATCACTGGAGTGATTTGGCACGAAGTCAAGTATGATTTTGATGCCCACCTCTTTGGCTTTCTTGATCATATTTTCGAAATCCTCCATTGTGCCATATTCTGGGTGAATTTGATAGAAATCAGAGATGTCATAACCGAAATCGGCCATGGGTGATTTGAAGATTGGCGACAGCCAAGCCGCTGTGAAACCGATATCCTTCAGATATTGCAATTTCTCAGTGACACCTATTGGTTTTATGAAAGAATACAAAGAGTATTAAGGTCGCGGTCTTTTCAATATTTTTTCCACAAAAACTCACCATTTAAATCACCAATACCGTCACCATCACTRTCACGAAACGAACGCGGATAGATTTGGTAATAATTTCCGTTCTCCCACCAATCCTTGCCTTGGGTACTGCTGGCAAATAAGGCCAGGACCGAAAGCGCGACCAACAGCGCGGTGGTTGCCTTCTGCATTTTGTCAATTTCTATTTCTATTTCACAATAATTCTAACACTCTGCGATAAAAAACCGTTAGCTAACTTCGTTGGGGACTTGCTACTAATTCAATTTGTGCTCTTGGGGGTTTTTATATAGCAAGCAGGCAGTGATTTGTGTCTGAAGCACACGAAAATTTAAATTAGCAGGAAAAAAAAAACTTATTGATAATTATTGAGTGCTGCTTTTTGTGATTTTTATCTGACAATTGCTTTGTAAACACTATGTGAGCCACTTTCGAGAAACGCGTAAAGTCACCTGCTATGAAAATGCTGATCATTTGGTTCACATGCGATTGACTTTAAGTGGCATGGCGCTGTTTGGCAGTTGTCAGTTCTACATTGTCAAAGCGGCACTTCACTTCCAGTTGGCAGATTTTTCAACATTCGTATTTTTGTTTTCAATGCGAAAACAGTAGAAACAATTGTTTGTGGAATTTTTCAGCCCACACATGAAAGTTGAGTACACACACAAAAAYATCCTCGACTGATAACACAGTTTGGGAGGAAAAAAAATTGCAATTAATGATAATAATTCTTATCAAATATTATGCAAGAAAACAAAGCGAGTGGTATTGAATAACTTTATTATATTCTTCTCCTTCTTTACTGGCGTAGACACCGGTTACGCGATCATAATCGAGTTAACAACAGCGCACCAGTTGTTTCTTCTTTTCACAAGGTGGCGCAAATCTGAGATCGAAGCCAGGTCCTTCTCCACCTGGTCTTTCCAACGGAGCGGAGGTCTTCCTCKTGCTCTGCTTCCCCCGGCGGGTATTGCGTCGAATACTTTCAGAGCTAGAGTGTTTTCGTCCATTCGTTCGACATGACTTKCCAGCGCAGCCGCTGTCTCTTCATTCGCTGAACTGTGTCAATGTMCTCGTATAACTCATATAGCTCATCGTTCCATCGAAAGCGATATTTGTCGACCATAAATGTGATGCAGCACCTTTCTTTCAAAAAATCGTAACGTCGTCTCATCAGATGTTGGCATCGTCCATGCCCTCTGCCACATATAGCAGAACAGGAATAATGAGTGACTTATAGAGTTCGGAACCTTAATTCGTTTGCCATGGTCGTCATCAAAAGGGGGGTTTTTCTTCTGGCTTTTTTTTTTGTTTCTTTATATTATATATTTGCATTGTGTGGCGGGTCCCAAACACAGCGCACAACCCTGTGKAGGGGATTGTTCRCCTTCTCACTTTCTCGGCCTCAACTGGATGTTCTTTGGCTACAGAGTATACGTGGTTGAAAACCGGAAGTCGTGAGCTGCTTCTCAAGTAAATGACAATAAGAGACCTTTCCACTTACATGAATGTCTACACATGACTCCATGTTCCTTTGCCTTTGTATGCACCCTATACCCATCTTTCTACCTCCTACGTAGCTTTTCATCCATTCTCAAACAGTTTATTGGCATGTTTTTATTTACAAAGTTGAGGTAGTTTTCCAAAGTCAAGAATGCAAAAATTGAAGACAAAAGCTCAGCAGTATTTATTTTCAGGTAAAATATATATTTCGAAAAATAACGGTTTTATTTTTTGTTTATTTATTRTTCGAGTAAATATTTGAAGAGAAGCTTCTTAACAAAACTCTGAAAACAAACACTTATTTAGTCATTCATTAAGAAAAAAGACTAAGAGTRTTCTGAAATGAAAAACTGTGAAATGGAGACAAAAATGTTAAACTCAGCTCATACCGAGTATCAGCACCACAATGTTATGAAAAGTAAACAAATAATATTGTGTAAGTTTACGCAGCTGCGGTGAGACACAAAAGTAAATCAATAGTTTTCAAAAAATGCTGTAACTTCTAGAGAACAGCGGATAAGCCGTTTTAGCTTAACARGGTAACACATTTTCTCGCCTCGTCTCGACTTGAGATCTATTATCCATTATGGATAGCGGCGGTCAAAGTGTCAACAGATAGGGCTTATAAATGGGGAACGAACAGCGGTTGTGGTCAGTAGCGCAGTACTTCCTGTTAACGAATTATGGGGAAACTTCTCGGCATCTTTCTAATCGCTTTCGCTCTGTGCCACGTCAGCCACAGCGAGCGTGACTGGTGGGAAAACGGCAATTTCTACCAGATTTACCCACGCTCCTTCAAGGACAGCAATGGCGATGGTATAGGCGATTTGAATGGTAAGCAGCTCAACCTGTTCAATGCAACAAATCATTGCTTATACCCACTACATTGAACATATTTATTGCTTTCCGCAGGTATACTCGAAAAATTGGATTACGTGAAGGACATTGGCATGGATGGTGTTTGGCTCTCGCCCATCTTTCAGTCGCCAATGGCTGATTTCGGCTATGACATTTCGGATTACACAAAGGTACAGCCGGAGTACGGCACGACGGAGGATTTGGAGTCGTTAATCGAAAAAGCGCATAGCCTCGGCTTGCACTTGATTTTGGACTTTGTGCCCAATCACACCAGCGACGAACATGAGTGGTTCCAACGTTCCGTCGCCAATGATTCCTACTATCGTGATTTCTACATCTGGCATGATGGTGTGATCAACGCTACCACTGGTGAACGCCAGCCACCAAGCAACTGGATTTCACAATTCCGTTACTCTGCATGGGAGTGGAATGAGCAACGTCAACAATATTACCTGCATCAATTTGGCATAAAACAGCCAGACTTGAACTATCGCAATCCAAACGTTGTCGAGGATATGAAGRATGTGCTCAGATTTTGGTTGGCGCGTGGTATTGATGGWTTCCGTATCGACGCTGTGCCCTTCTTATTCGAGGCTGATGTTGATCCCACAACTGGCACCTACCCTGATGAGCCCATTATTGCCGATACAAGCTCTTGTCCCGATCCAGATGATTGGTGTCACTTGAATCACATTTACACTAATTCGCTACCTGAGATATTCGATATAGTCTATCAGTGGCGTGACGTTGTGGACCAGTGGAAACTTGATTATGATACCGACACTAAAGTGCTGCTTACTGAGGCTTATACCAGCTTTGAGAATCTTATGCTCATGTATGGTGATGGCGTACATAACGGTTCAAATATACCCTTCAACTTCGAGATGATGGCCGATCTGAACAACCAGAGTACAGCTTCCGACTACGATTACTATGTACGTCATTGGTTGGATAACATGCCTGAGGGTGTCTATGCTAACTGGGTGCTTGGCAACCACGACAATCCCAGATTGGCTTCGCGATTCGGTGCTCAACGCGCTGATCTCATGAATATCTTCTTGCAAACGCTACCAGGCATTGCAGTCACCTACAATGTAAGTGCTTATACATATCTCATACAATAATCATATAATCCTCTCATTTAAATATCCAGTATACTGAGCATTATTTGTGTCCAATCTAATGGTATTTTTAAGGGTGAGGAGTATGGCTTGGAAGACGGTTACGTGTCCTGGGAGGATAGCGTTGATCCGCAGGCTTGCAATGCTGACCCCGAAACTTACCAGAAATATTCACGCGATCCTGAGCGCACGCCCTTCCTCTGGGACAACACCAAAAATGCCGGCTTCAGTTCTGCGAATCGYACMTGGTTACCCGTGGGCCAGTCGTACGAGTCAAACAACGTGCAGGCGCAAGAGGCGGCAGAAAACAGTCACCTAAAGATTTTCAAAAAACTGACCGAATTAAGAAAATCCGAACCCGCTTTCAGCGATGGTGATTACGAATCAGTGGTCGGTGACAATTGGCTGAGCTACAGAAGGTGAGCTACGGTAACAACTTCGAGAACTTTTTAGCGAAAATTCCATTTTACAGGCAAGCAGCTACCGGCGATGCATATTACATAGTTCTAAATATTGGCGACCAAAATGTGACTTTGAACTTCGATCAGTTGTATGGCGATGTAAGCGGCAAGTTGGAGGTTGTTGCCAGTTCACTGCAGTCTGGCTTGGAGAGTGGGTGAGTGCGGCTACAGGCTGGTRTTAATTCACATTCAAAACTCTAATTATTGTTTACTTATTCGGCAGTCAACAAGTGGACTCCGACTCGTTGGAGGTGAAGGCATACAACGGCTATGTACTGCGTTTGGTGAATGAGGCATAGCGGGCTTCGAGAGTCGCAAGCTACCGACTTGCTAATATGTAACCATGAACTATAAAAATATACTAAAATATTACAAGTATTGCATTGTAAAATCAATGGCTTTGATTTTTCTCGCTTTTGCTTTCCCAAACTGTTTTTTTTTTTTTTTTTGAATCAAAGGTCCAACTTTAGTTTTCTACCCACAAGTTTCGAATTTTGGAATGTTTTCGCAGTGGTAAAATTTACTTTTATTTGAAGTAGCAGCTACTCTTGGAAACGTTAGATCACTGTGACTCTGTGTGTATGCAAATGCTTCAGTTATGGAGCGTTCAAGTGCAGAATAAGCAGACATAATGTGTTTCGTATGACGCCCGCACCTACTGAACAACAGAAGTACTTGTTTATTTACTTAATGCATGTACGGTAATTAATAGTAGTTTTTGAATGCCAATCACAATGCAAACACCACTAAAAAGCGCAATTATCTTCAGATCTTATAGGAAAATTCGTAGAGAATAGTTTTTATTAACGACCGCTTTCACAAAAGCTGCATAAATTTAGGCGTATATGCACGTAGTTTTTTAGGAATCAGACACTTCATTTTAGCCTTCGAAGGGCTTAAGACTCTACTGAGTACTTCTAAATAAACGACGGCTGGTGAATATACCACCCGAGACATRTAGGTAATMGATATATTRGGTAGTCGAAAAAGTCTTTTCGTATTTTGTCAATAGATGCCGTTGCAGTCCTAAATCWACAGCGCTACCAGTCACATTGTGTCATACCATATAGTGTTGGAAAGGTGAGATTTTAAGCTTTACTTAA